GATGATCATATGGACCAATAAAACTATTCCATTCCTTTAATAAAGCATTATTATTTTCTACTCCCCATACCTAGATATAGATGCAGATATAGATAAATACCCAACTAAAAATTTTAAGGCAATATTATCTCAAAATAATATGTTAGTGAATATTAAATTTAACTCTGTTTAAATAATCAAAACACAAATAAAATGTTTATTGTGTAAACAATAGCATATAAAAAAAAAATCATAACTCGATAATGCAAACAAAGTATTGTAAGTATGCAATGAATCTACTGGATGATTTTTTTTACCGTCTGGAAAAAAAGATGTAAGAGGTGAACGGAATAATAGCCTATGACACTGATATTTAAAAAAAAATTGTTTTACACTAACATGTTATAAAAGTGATTTATCAATAAATACTATTAATTGGGTGCGTATTATTTTAATTTCGATAGTTTTTAATTGATTTATTTACCGAGTTCAAAATGTATGTTTTTATGTTTTTAGTACCGAAAGTTTATTTGAAATTAGTAGTATTTATTGATAGATCAATTTCATAGTATGTTAATATAAAAGAAAAAAAATAGTAAAATATCAATGCCATAAGCTCCTATTCCGTTTACCTGTTACTCCCTATTTTTTCCAGCCGGTAAAAATAAACATCCAGTATAGGAATGTACAAAGTTCTTAAAGATGACTTTCAGAGTTTTTCCTTGCGTTTACACTTTACTGTTATCTATTATTAATTAAAGCCATTAAGAGAATTAAATGACGAAAAAATTATCAGCCCTTAAAACTAATCTCACTAGTTAGTGTCAACACCAGTCGACATTGAATACCTATAATTTGTAGTTTTCATATTTTTTTCCCTTGTTTTTTTTTTTTTTTTTAAGTAGAAGAGCTCACCTGATGTTAAGTGACTACCGCCGCCCATGATCAACCGCAACACCAGGGGAATTGCAGGTGCGTTGCCGGCCCTTTAGAAAGGAGTAAGCTCTTTTCTTGAAGGTCCCCAGGTCGTATCGGTCCGGAAAAATCACCGGTGGTAAATTATTCCACAGAGAGGCTGTACGCGGAAGAAAACTCCTTTTGAAACGTACAGTGGTGGACCGCCAAGCATCCAGATGGTGTGGATGGTATCGGGACGTTTGCCGTGTAGTGCGTTCACGAAATTTGGCGGCTGGGATTAATCCGAACAATTCCTAAGAGATTTCTTGTACAAGCCTAATGATCTATTTCGTAACCCTATATAAGAAAAGGACAAGGTGAGTCAGTGAGTGTTGAAAATGGAATTTTTCGGACCTTAATAACGAAAGATTTTTCATTAAATTTGGAATCATCCAGAAGTTTTCCTTGAATACAAGGAAAACTTCTGCATGGAAACAAATTTCTTACCGACGAATATAAGTTATCATCATCATCATCATTATAGTCCTTCACAAGTCCACTGCTACAGGTCTCAAAGAATGCCACAAAGCACGGACCTGAGCAACCTACATCCATTGACGTGGCTCCAATCCGTGTTGGCAGACTTCACGTATCTCCATAATAATTTTTTTTTTGATTTCATAGTGAATAAAAAATACTTTGCAGGCTTGTCCATATCTCTCTTCATCACAGAGTACGTGGTATTAAAATTGCAATTAACAGTTGTGCTGTTGAGGATTGAATCCGAGTTGCTCGAGTACTTGAAATATAGCGTACGGCGAACGCTTAGCCTCTGAGCTACTGCGGCTAAAAAGAAGGAAAATACATTTTTGAACTGATATAAGAATCTATAAACTGTGCGAAATAGAAATTATTACTGGCAGAAAATAACAGGTAAGCAAGAAGACAGACATCGAGATAACGACATCACGCTGCAATCAGAGGAGCTCCGGTGGCAACATTCCGTATATTTCATCGCGGGCGAACTACTAAATTATCTAAATAGAGATCGCTCCCCAATCAGGGTAGAATCAAGGGAACATGGATCAGAAAAGGACTAGATGTGGCAAACTTTTCGTACGTAATGGAGTCAATTTTTTAAAGAATAAGAGAACACACAGTCCACCTGATGGTAAGTGGATACTGTGTCCATAAACATCTACATCTATCCTCGATTAAGAATCAAAATGTAGATGCGTTGTCACTCCTAAGGGCTAAGATGATGTATCATATTCAAAGGGTTATAAAAATATTACCTCATAGCTGGGATATTTGCTAAAGTTGCCCCTTGCATAAAAGTTGCCGTTGCATGGCAAGCGGGTTAGAAATCGCAGTTATTATTTTTCAATAGTTAGAAGGAAAACGCTGCACCCATTTCCTGATTCTTTCCCCGACTGCCACACTTTATACTTTTTATTATCATGCCTGTTTCAATTTATTTTTAACATTCTTTAGCAGTTACCACTTCTTAAAATAAGTTATCGTTTATTGAATTGGATTGTTTCCAAGAAAATCAAACACACTATGATAATTTTAGCTTTCGTCGCATTAAAGACGTGCTCGCATAACGTCGCTCTTTAGTAGAGAATCCACTATCGCAGGTGCCCTAAGAGGCGACAGAGAGAAACTGAATATGTTACAGTAGATGATCTGTAGCAGTTAGTTAAAAAATAAAAGATTTATTTAGATGTTATAATCCGGCTCTGTATATTATTGTGTTCAGAGTTTATTGGTTTGATGTAACATAATAAAATATATTTCTATTTAAGAAAGAAAAAATGACAACATTAGCTTTACATAAATGTCACTTCTATTTACTAATAATAAAATTTCAGACCCGCAGCCGGATGTGTCGCGTTCAGAGCGCACTAAAGATGGCGGGCGGAAACGCGTCGCGCCTACTGTCATGGCCGCCGGAAGTCATCTCGCCATTTGATAAATAGTTGTTCTTCAACAGTTTTTCTCATGCAAATGAGGGGTCGGGATGACGGATGGCGTTTGTCACAATTTTCTGGGATGGATTTAATTTGGAATTGCACTGGGGCGACTAATCTGACTCCTGATGGGGATTGTCGCGGGAAAGCTGATTGTGCGAAAGCTGTACGGTTTTTGATACCTATGTTTTATAAACGCGGTCTGGAAGATTTGCATATGCGTTATTTTGTGTTTTTGTTTTACAACAACGCATTGTTATCAAGCATTTGAGTATTATTCAAAATAGATTTCAAACATAAAGTTTTGCCCTTTGTAAAATTTAATAGTATACTTTTTTATTATATAATAAGAGTGACAAACGACCACACAGTCAAACTGATGCTAAGAGGATGCTGTAGCATATAGACATCTACATTCATCCTCGATTTAGAATCAAAATGCAGATGCGTTGTTACTTCTGAGGACTAATATGGAAATGGCGGTCTTCAGTACTCTAGACTCACCATATAAAACACAGTACCATTAAGCTGCAATTTTGCGCATGGACATGGTGGTATTCTGTGATAGCGTAGGCCGTAATTAGCAGCGTAGGACTAGAACTTTTAAAATAAAGTTGGAACCAATAAACGTTCCAATGCCTACACCAACTCTAGTAAAGCAATTCATAGTGCGTTCTTGGAAAGGCGTGTATCTGTCAGGGAACTTCAAGCGGCTATGTGACGATAATGATGATGATGATAAGGTTACGTCTGAACGCCAATGCACTCACTTGGTCTAACCTACACATGTCCGATGTGCTTAAGTCATCAACGTCATTGCAGTTCTTTACAAGTCTACAGCTGAACATAGACCTCCCAAGGCATTCCACAAAACATGATTCTTAGCTTTCTACATCCAATTCCTGTAAATCTCTAAACGGCGGGTCGCCCTGCGCTTCGCTTACCCGTACGAGGTTTTCACTTGAAAACCTTTCTTTCACATGCGACTATATGATAAGAGTTAATTCGGTGCCATCGACATCACAATTTATCCAGAACCAAAAACCAACAATTTGTGTTTTTGCTCAAACGTGGCTTTTATGTGAATTCGAACTTGGGACCTATTATCATCTTACAATAAGTATTATTTTCTTTAAAATTTTTGGGATTGATGATGAGATGAGACGACTTTTTGGGTTTTTAATATTAGAGTTTTAATACATGCTAGGTTTTACCAATGACTATTTAAATGTTGGTTTTGGACATAAAAATACGTAATATTATAAGTAGAAAGTATTTATTAAACATCGAATCATGCTATCGACTAAATTTTAATTTTTATTATAAGTTTTTAAAGTATAATATAGTAAAAAAAAAACAAATATTTGTTTTCCACTTACAAACACAATACCTACGTTGGCTAAGATTAGTATTCATTAATTTTTCTTATCAGACTATTGTCAGCACAAATTCAATATTTCTTAGTACTCTATAGTTACTCTAGGTACTCTACAGTTACAAAAACTTGCTGCAATTGTTTTTTCTCATTTATTGTGACACAGTTATCAAAAATCAAGTACAATATTGTTTGTAATATTGCACTTGTCTGCTAATTATTATATGTTATAACATAACATAAGTGGCAGACGTCTGCTAATTATGTTATGTTATAACATAACATAATCGGCAGACGAGTGCCGAAAAATACATTAAGATTAACACTTATTTCAACTAAGCCTGTTGAAATATTTACCCAAGTTAGTTGAAACTGATTAGTAAATTTATGTTGTGTATAAGCAATATTAACAACAACAGCGCAGCAAAGCTTAAAAATAAGTAAGTTAATCAAAATTGATAAACATACATTTTTAAGGGACTAACAATCAACACATTATAGAGGTTTCCGAATGTTATACTCTTGAACGAATTAAGTATTTATCTAAGTAATTTTTAAAGATAGTTCGTTTAAAAATTTTAAGGAGCCACTAAAGAGATCGAGATTTACTAATTCTTTGTTGTATAATTTTAAAGTACGGGAGATAAAGCAATTTTGTGTATATTTTTTTCGAAAAAAGGTGGCACGAATATTTAAACACGTTGAGGGCAAGCGGGCAGGCGAAATTTCTCGCACTGACTCAATATCGCATTTACAAATGACATTGTTATCATTTGTCACATTAGAAACATCTTCTCCGTAATAATCTTTTCTTGTATTTTATTCTTAACAGCGTTGTTGGGCCTCACCTTTTGTGACTCTTTTTCAACAATAGTATCTTCTTTGTCATGTTCAGTTACATTTTTGGCGCCAATATATTTTTCCGATTTATTTGCGATAGCAACAAATTCCAAATCTTCTTTAGAACTTATAACTCCAATCATATCTCTTAACGATCACTGAAGTTGAGATGCCCATTTTCGTTAGAAAATCAAACATCGCTTCGGTCGAGGTTCTTTTGGCTCTCGCATGATATGCTTTTTTCTTCATAGTCTGGATTAGTTTTAACCCTCTGACCACTTCAACCTTTAATTTCACTAAGCACTATGCATTTAGCTTTATCGAGATAAAAGTTATTGTCTTTCTTACTTGTTAGGAATTTGTCCAGTACTCCATAAAATCATTGTATCATTCTCATTTTTTCTCATAAATACTTCTAGACAGCAAAAACGTACGTACTAAGCGAACAATTGTGTCGAGCGGAGAAAGGTGACACTGCACACTCCGCGAGCACGATAATGCATCAAACACTTATAGACATGACTTTTTTTCAACATTTTACATGTCTGAGAAAAACTTAAGATTTACTAAGTTAATGCTAGTAAAAGTCCGAAATTGGAGATTACCAACGAACAGCTCGAATTTTTACCATTAAGACTTGGTAAATCCTAGGTTTTATTCGAAAATCTTTGGATTTACCGTAGTTTGTGCTTTTACAGTAACATAAATAATGATTACTTATCTATGTAAAGAGTCATGTTAATTAATAAAAGAAAAGTTAGACCAAGTCACGCACGCGTGATGCCGCAAATACACATCTGCCAGTTTCTTTAAAGTTAAGTTTCTATAACGAAAATGAACAGATAAAAACAAATCTTCATAAATTTATCCAGTATTTGTGTTTTTTTCGTTTCATGGTTGTAGCACGAATGATGGGTCGATTCGACTGGGAAGGACCACGCTCTCACAGAATACCAGCGTTAAAGCGACAGTAGCCTAATGGCAGGGCGCGGACCGCGACTCAAAAAGGTGGTGGGTTCGAATCTGACATTCGACTACTGGCGTGAACCACTCTTAACACAAGCAATTTAAGCTTACCACGAGTGGTTGAGGGGAATATTAGTAATGTTTGTAGAATTGTTAATGTTCTTTTATAAAAAAAATAGCAGCTGTCTTTCGTATGACGAGTGTAGAGAACCGGAGAACCGTTTTACAGGAAACGAAGTATTCCATTTTAGTCCTCAGGGATGGCAACGCATCTGCATTTTGATTCCTAATGGAGGATAAATGTAGATGTTTATGGGCCACATCATCCACTTAACATCAGGTGGACTGTGAGCTCGTTTGTAACCCTTATTCTATTTAAAAAAAATGTAATTCAAAATTGCTACCTTTAGGAGAGTCTTATTAATTATAATAATTTTAATTATTTGATTTTCTATTTTAAGTTAAAGTAGGTAATTAAATCTATATATATATATATATATATATATATATATATATATATATATATATATATATATATATATATATATAATGATTGACTATAAACTATGACGTCATTAAATATACATTGTATTTCATCATCATCGATAAATTAAAATATATTTTAATGTGGCAGAGCCACGCTTCAATAGAATGGTGGCTGCAGCATAAGTGGTTCGGCTTGAACTGCAAAAGTATATTTGCTTAATTGTTGGTAATAACGGCTTTGGAAGATTTTTTACTGATAACAAAGGATTACATCTTTCCTCTCAGGTTAGAACGCATCTACATTTTGATTCTTATTCAAGGATATATGTAGGTGTCTAGGGACCACAGCATTTACTTACCATCAATGTGTGCTTATCTGTTTTTTTTAAACGGCAGTTTACAAACATAAATTGCTCAAGGAAAAACATCCAGACCCGGAACAACTATTTATAGGCCATACAAATACTGTTCCGTGTGGTATTCGAACCCGCGACCCCCAGCGCAGCCACTCATTGCTAAGCCACTGCGCCACGGAGTTTTGTTTTCACTTCTGATATTGTTACTCAATATTATCAAACAAAAATTGATTAATATGGTTTTTTTATTACTAAAGAGTACACGATTGCCAATAACCCCTGAGATTTAGGTGATCGTTACCATGCTGTTTCTAAATGTTTGTGTATTTATTTGTACGACATATAATTACATTGATAAAATTAATGTTAAAAAAACTCCCGCTATGTGTCTTACACAGAAATCGTAATAATAAGACAGTATTATTACGATTAATGTGGTGTCTTTCTAATTTTTAAGGACAGACTTTTTTGAACCTGTGATAATCAGTACATAAGCTTTTTTAATCTATATTGCATAAAACTAACCTATTCCATTAAAAAAATATTAAATTCGTAACTCCTGAAAATCGATTAGATTCACCTAGTTTGTCAAATGTTAATTAATGTAGCATCGCAATTTTTTTCGCAGTCTACTATATTTAACACGATGCATGACATATCACTCCTTTCAACAATTAGTTTTTGCGCCCTCATTTCTTGTATCCATTCATATTGCAGCCGACCCGGTGGTGCAAGGTGTGGTTACTAGGAGCAGTTCAAGCGGCACGTGGTAAAGGTTAAGCAGATGTTTGCTATACGGTAAAGTTGTTCATAAAGCACACCGTTGACTTTACTTTTTTTTTCTTAAAACGGTCAACGTTTTTTTTAAACGGTTGCGTAAGTTCTGTTACATTTTCTTATAATTTTTTTTTGCAATAAAATATATAGTCTGTCTATTTGCGAATTAATAGTCCTCCAAATGTCACAAATTGTGCGTTTGTATAGAGTGTATATAATAAAATTAAATTTACGGATTTTATTGCGTTTAATTTTAACTTTTTTTAATTAACAAAGACTACCTTCAACTTTTATTTATTAATTTTTGGTCCGGTCCACTCAGAACAAGCTTACAATAACGATTTCTTTGACGCGAACACTTTTATGGATTTTATCGCGTTTCATTTACTTATTTGATTTTTAATTAAATAGAAATATAATAAAACCTGTAAAAGTAGTGTTAATAAAGCTTACAAGATCTTGAAGTCTTGCAGTAGTATGCTTTGGTACCGATTTAATTTCATTAATTATGGAATCTCAAGCAGATGGTAGCACTCAGTCATTTTCTTTATTGAAATTAGGATGTTTTTTTTTTTATATTTCAATAGCCCCGCAAATCATCCGTATCCGTAATCATCATTATGTATCGGGTTTAGTAGATGGTACTCTACTAACTGTAACAATAAGTTAGCAGTTGTGTTGCTTAGCACTTTCACTGTCCGGTTTTCAGACACAATAGTAATAACCCATAATATGTAGTGCACTGGACAGCGAAACGGTTAAGTTTAAATACGGTTCTTTTATAGAGTAAATATGTATAGCCTATTAAGAAACTTAAGACCGGATTTGGGTTACGATGGCCAGTCTCATACTAGCCATCTGCGCAGGACTGGATTATAGTGTCTGAGTGTATGCGCAAGAACAGGTGCACTCTATATTCCATCAAGTCTTGTAGTCCGATAGGACGGTAATCCGACACGACCGCAGAGAATTCAAGCGCAGGACCAACGGCGTTACGTGGCTTCCAAGCCACGGGGGTGAAACTCCGCCAACTTCATGATTTTGGACTGCTACTAAGAGTTCTTGACTGACAGAGCCAATAACTGAATCTGGTCCAGCCTGGAATTCGAATCCACGACCTCATAATTAGCAATCTCGTATATATATATATATATATATAATATATATCTCTATAATATAATCTCGTAGTATAACCGTTTATAAACGCGTATATGTAGTAAGTAAAAAGAGACAACAACCGGCAATTATTATGCATAATTATTGAAAAAACTACGCGAAGAACTAAGGAATAAATGTCGAAGAAAATTGCTTTGGCGTGCTTTTTCGTTACGACAATTCCCCTGCCCACCGATCTGATGTCGCAGATGCTGGCATCCGAACTGCTGGGTTTCATTTGATGCAGTAACGACCATATTATCCAGACCGAGATCCGAGTGATTTTATAGATCAAAGCAGTAGGTATTATTCATTTATTAGTATTTGAAAAATTACATTTAGAATGATAATGAATTACCTATTCTTACTTAACTTTGTTTTCAGTTTTGAAGTAGATAAAATATATAATTTATTTAATAAATTCTACTTATTAAACTAACGCTGCCACGTAATCGCCTACAGTAAAATAACGTAATATTAACGAATTAGATTCCGTTCATGATTTAAATAGGTTTGCCACGGCTTACGGTTATAATTTAAATTTAAACGATCTCTAATTACTTGCGCGCTCAAGTCATGTACATGCAAAAAATGACCACGTGTCACTTTGACCTTAAAGATGTACGTGAGTCATAGTATCGTTATGCACCCTCTGTGTCTTACCGTGCGTGAAACCACCTGGTGGCGTTGGTTCTTCGACGATATATTTACAGTGTAGAAGTTTAAACTTTATGAGAAGGGTTTAAAGTATATTATTTGTGGATTCTTATTTTGCATGGGCAGGTGGTGAAAACCGGAAGAATTTACAAGACCTTTAAGCTTTGAAGGAATTTTATTGCAATTGTTAAGCGATAAAGAAATCTGAATTTATGATTATACGTGTACACAGCACCGTTTTATTCAATCGTTGGAAGGTATAGTTATCCACTTGCTTACTTATGATTATGGATAAGGGAGATAATTGCGCATATAGTCTTCCTGATGGTAAGTAAATGCTGTGGTCCATATAGGTACATCATCATCATGCTATGATGGAATCCATTGTAGCCTGCAATGATTTATTCTCTTATTTCAATCATTAACAATAGAGCGGTCACAGTATTTACCGGCAGAAATATGTAAGTATATACGAGTGTATACCCAGACAGACTCTCAGATATGGTCATAAATTCTGTTATAAAGAAACGATTTATAACTGTCCAAAAAGTTGTTTTTAAATTAATATTTATATAAAATGTTATAATATGTAAAGTTTATTATATCTCAGGAAAAGGTATGTGCAATTACGAGTAAAATGAGTCTAAAATGATCCCCATTAAAAGATCTTATATTTAAAGATAAAATCGTGATCAATTTTGTTCCACAACAATATACACTTAAAACTGCTCTTTAATTCGAGAAGA